GCACACTGCACTGGGGATATAGCTCAGTAGCATAAGCGCCTGCTTGGCAAGCACAAGCACAAGGTCTTGAGTTCGATCTCCGGTACCAACAAAAAAAAAAAAAAAAAAAAGAGAAGAAAAAGAAAAAAGAAAGATATATACTAAATTAAAAAAAAAGTTGGAAAAAAATGTTGGCACACTAAAATGTTGTATAAAATCATTTTCTCAAGGGCTGGACAGATAGCTCAGTGGATTAAAGTGCCTGCTCAGGCAGACACAGGGACCAGGGTTCAATCCCCAGCTTGCCATGCCAGCCCCATCCCCAGGGCGTGCTGAGTCGGTGACTGAGACTGGGCATGGTGGTGCACACCCTGTAGATCCTGTCCTAGATACAGGGGGAAAAAAAAAATCACTTTCCCGCTATGTATATAAGGTATATGTGGAACAAATAAATTTAATGTTCAGATTTGGGTTTTATCCCTAAATTATCTCATTATGCATATGTAAAGATATCTCATTATGTATAATATTCCTTTTTTTTTTTTTTTTTTGGTATTTTAGGGAAGGGTCTACAGGGTGCACAGAGTCTCACTACTAAATCAGACTCGTAGTGATCTGCCTGTTTACAGCCTCCCAAGAGCTGGGATTACAGGTGTGCACCACCACGCCCAGTCTCAATTGTTGGCTCTGTGTGCCCCAGAGGTGGGACCAGGAGGGCAGGCCCGGGGATCGAACCCCAGTCCCTGCACCTGCTTGCAGGCACTTTAATCCACTGAGCTTTTTGGCTGGTCATTATGTATAATATTCTGAAGTACAAAAAAAATTGAAGGGCTGGCGAGATAGTTCAGCAGTCTGAAGTGCCTGCTTAGACAAGCTTAGGCAAAAGCACAGGGACTGCAGTAGGATCCCTGGCACCTCATGCCTCATGTGGTAGGATCCCTGGCACCTCATGGCAGCTCATCCCAGGGCATGCTGAGATGGCAAAAAAAAATTGAAATTTCAAACACTTCTGGTCCCAAGCATTTCTGATGAGGGGCACTCAAATCGTAGTCATGCCACAGGTCCAGGATCAAAGAACATCTCCTTAGTGTGGGCAATCTTTCTCTGGGGTGGAAATCCCTCTGCACAGGGCTACTATTCAGGGTAGCTTTTTCAGGTTTCTGTTGTGGGAGGTGTTGCAAGAGAAGCCTCTCAGGACAAGCAGTCAATCTGAAACCTAAACCCTTTGGGGATTAAATGAAACTGGAAAAGGCCCCAAATCACAGTTCATTTCACCTCTTCTGTCTTGGTGAAGGCTGGGGCATAGCTGCCTCTGGACAGCGCCAGTGGCTTCTCAGTGTGAGGGGGTACAGGACACTGCCACTTAGGCTCTGACCTTGGCAGCAGGCTGCCAGAGCTCACTCCTTAGGCCTCTGCCAAGGGCAACAAGCCAGGAACCAGGGGCAGCAACAGGAAGCTGAGACTGAAGCCTGCCCTGACACCAGCAAGCTCCTCCCCTGGACTGCATTTTCTACAAAACTTCCTGGTCACTCAGCCACCACCCGCTGAGGGGACAATCTGATGCCCCTTCCTTGACCTCCCTAGCTTTCACTCTTTTTTTTTTTTTTTTTTTTTTTGTGGAACCCGGATTGAACTCAGGCCCTTGC